TCTCCATCGCTCTGTTTCTCGACAAAAATTTCCTTCTCGTTTTCTACGTTGGTTCCTCAGGTGGTTTAGATTCACTTCTTTTGATTAGTTTTGCTGGGAAGATTTTATTTTGTTGCGAGTGGTGTAGCATCGAATAGTTATAGTGATTCATGTCAGTTGTGGTGGCGCGCTATGATTGGTACCGTGGCGTACAGCGGTGTGTTGATTATTGATGGTTCTATGATAGTTCAATTGCAGATTACAGTAATTGTTCATGAATATCGTCACTATCATTCGATATGTTTTCGGATTTACATTCATTCAGTGATTTACTGAATTGAAACCGAAACAATTTGCTTGTAAAGAGTTTAAGAATGATTTACTTTTTGAGATAACAATAATATCAAATGTATTGGCTTTATTGAACAGTAATCGTGAAAAAAATAATTTATTAGTTTGGAAACGTTTATTTTTGGATACAGATAGTCACCATCATTATCATCGGTCGTGCTTTTGAGACGCGGCAATAAGATTGTTCCAAGCCCTTTTATCTTTCGGATAGGTGGCTATTTCGTTGGCAGTAAATTAGACCTTTTGTCTGGCTAAATGTTGTACTTTCATATTGCATTCTTGGTAGGCTTTCCTGCGAGCAGGTAAGACTATACTGGGATACCAGCCCTCATGTATAGAATGAATAGTGCCGTTGACCTTACTATTAGGTTCATCCGCCTTTGTGACGCCATTTCCTTCGCCACAGAGTTTAACATCCCTTTCTCGGGTGACTCATCCGGTCATAAATGATCGTTGGTCGCGTAGAACGCCCGAGGTTTGTCAGTTAGTTAACCGTCGCCGACGGTTCGACGTGGGTCTTTTAACGTCTTGCGTTAGGATACAGATAGTAATGAGAGAGACGATAAAAATGTTGAAAATAAATGCAGTGAATCGATAATACATCCGATGCATATAATCGATGGCATTATTTTCTTCTTCTGTTGAGGCTAACGTTATTGATGAAGTTGTGGCTGGGTATGGTACTGGTCTCATACACTTTTCTAATTACATCTCCCAGTCTTGTGCCATGATTTGTATGCGAATCATTAATAATCGATGAGCTTGTTGATGTTCGCTGGTAACGCGGATTGACATCATTGGGTAAATACGAACTGATCACTTCACGTTTAGTTGAGTTTAACATCGAGGGACTTGTAAAAACATCGTTTATCGCTTTCATAAAAAATGCCGATGATGATAAACCACCGATTATATGCATCGGATGTATTATCGATTCACTGCATTTATTTTCAACATTTTTATCGTCTCTCTCATTACTATCTGTATCCAAAAATAAACTTTTCCAAACTAATAAATTATTTTTTTCACGATCACTGTTCAATAAAGCCAATACATTTGATATTATTGTTATCTCAAAAATAAATCATTCTTAAACTCTTTACAAGCAAATTGTTTC